CGCGCCGCTCGCCTGCCCAGCTCCAACTCCAACTTCTTCACAACTGGAAAACTGTCCAAGCCTCCTGCTCTCCCCTCTGCCACCCCAGGGCCGATGTCATTCTCCAGCAGCGGGAAAACTGCTCCCGGAGGATGCTGGAGCCGCTGGGCTCTGCGCGAGCTGATAAGGCTCCCGCTGGGGTTGGAGCGTTGCTTGCAGCGAGCATTCCTCTCCCGCCCACGCACGCGGTCCCGCTGCGCTCATTGGCCTGCCCGTGCATCTGTCACACTTCCCGGCGCCCAAACTGGATGCACATTGCAACGGATTAGAGTCAAGGCCCCCAGGAGCTGCTCTCAGGGTCCCAATCCTTCCCGAGGCCACACTCGGTTTGGGGTGGGCTGGTGCGGCCGCTGCGGCGCGGGCCGCGCGCTCACGCCCTCTCCTTGCTCCTCCAGGCACTTGCTTGAGCCTGCGTTCGCTCGCAGACGCCCCTTTGGGGTTTTGGTTTTTTGGTTGCTCTTGCTGCAGCAAACGGGAATTGAGAACTTGGGGCAGGTTGCAGAAAGCAAGGGGTGAAACAGAGGGGATTCGGGTGGCTACAGGGACAGGAGCCCACGGTCCAGTAGTGGGGACCACCACAGCGAGGCTCATAGAGATCTGCTTCCATCAGTGTCACCGGGTCTGGATCGATGCAGCTTTCGGAAAATGCTCAGCCAAGGTCCAAAGAGCCCCCAGGACCAGCCAGAGAAGATGTTGGCCAATTGGCACCGGCTGCCCGGGTCCCTGTCACCTCTCCCGAGGCCGAGATGGGACTGCTGCCTGCCCAGAGGGCACCGTCACGTCCCACCAAATTCCCACCTGGAGGCTGCCAGCACCAACCGTGCTGCCCATTCCTGACCTTGGACAGAGTCTGGCATCATCGTCACATGTTTTTGGGACAAAAAAGCGCAGCCCGAAGGAGGCTGCCCACCCCTTTCCTTCCTTAAGGCCCACGGTGTTCAGATCTGAACCCCCCCAGAAAAAGCAGAAGACACAAATAAAATCAAGCAAGGGCAGGACGTTCTTCCAGGATTCGCTTCCAAGAAATGTCTCAAAGGGATGAAATCAGGATAACAGGCAGCTCATCTGCTAAATATACCCCGGGCCCGAGCGCGCCACGCGCCCCAGGCCGCCCGTCCTCCCACTGCTCTG